ACATGGGGAATAAAATTAGGATCATTCCATATTGAGAGAAAGCTTGTTAAGTTCAAAATTCAAAAATTGAAAATTTTAAACTTCAATTATCAATATAGTTTTATTTGTTTTAATATCAAGACTTTTCATTCATGTCTAGTTGATAATACTCTTTTGATGTGATTGGCTATCACAGCCCCTTATCTCACTTAGGTTCGTGATTTTGGTCTAGTGATGATCCATAATAATCTTTTTGATGTTTTGCATCACATATACTATTAAAATTTATTTTCAATCCCAAAATCTTGGTGCTATTAAGGTTGACCAATCTCTTGGGAATTTCTAAATTCTTTATGATGTGAAATTAAATCTAATATGCTTGTTTGTCTTATCCTGTTTGAATATTTTATCCCGTGTTCCTGCTTAGTTTACTTCCTCAATATGCTGCTGGCTTTATTTCATGAAATTATTGAGCTTTGTTTTTCGTGTTTAGAAATTTTCTTTCTCCTTATTTAAGCATATTCCTTAAAGATTTTGCCATTATATTTAAAATGGTATGTCTATAAATGTACCCAAAAAATGGGTTAGCACAAATTTCGAATCAATATGACAGCTCAAAAAAAGAATGACATGACAAAACGGGATTTAACGGAAAGCGGCTCAGGGTCCTAGGAAAACCGATCGGCTCATGCTATTCATTCGAATCGACTCAACAATACACGTTCAAAAATATCCTCTGCTCGGGGTTCAAGTCTTCTCAGTCGGTAAGAATTCCCCAATAGGCACCAAGGAGTGACGATTGGCTCAACTCATCTTGTCGGCCAACATGAGTCTGACGAACTCATCTCCCAAACTACCTTCAAGCATCCACCCAATCTCGATACCTAAAGGGCCGACCGAAAGACGGTTTCCGTCTAGATGGTCGACGACAGCACTGATCGATTCACCTCTTCGACCCAGTTGACCAAGCTAGAGAACAGCAAGACCCTGGGCCCATAGGGGTTTATTTACTAAAATAACGTGTACAACTCCCCATAAAAGCGGGGTACTAAATGTAATTTTCCTTCTTTACTCACCCTCTTCTATAAGTAGAGCTAATATTTCATGTAATAGGTTTTTTTGCCTCTCCCTTCTCTCATGTTTGCTCTTACAAGAAGGGACCTTAGACTCTTCATCCTCTCATGTATCAAACATATTTGATTATATAAAAAGAGTCACACGAGGTCTGGAATATCCCATTTTGAGAGGCGAGTCGCTGTGCACTCCTCTCCTCTCTTGGTTCAAATGCTCGAATCCTTTGGGTGTACCTCTTGGATAAATTCAGATACAACATCGTAAATGGTGTGATGAGCGTGGAGCATACCACTAACAAGAAGAAGAGCAACACCAAACAGGAAAGACCTACGACAGAGACACTTCTGACACAGAGTATATCAAGTAGTTCACATAGCAGCAGGCCCAGGAGCCATAATTTTACTTTTACATCATCTTCCAAGAGACATTTGGCTCGGAAGCGAGAGCCACATAGAAACGTACAACCTGCTCCTCAAAGTCGGGAAGCCCCTATCGAAAATTTACCTATGGCACCTCGACAACACTCGACCAACATCAATCGAGTGATGTCAATCCAGAAATAGGGCCCAACACGAAATGCCATTGACCCTAACTTGCTGAGGGCCGGCCAAAGCAACCTGGGTCGAGGCACAACCCCCATAGCGCTGCGCCAACAAGTGAATCAGATCCAATACCTCAGCCGACACTCTGCTTGGCAATAAACATACATTATCATTTCAAATTCTCTATACTTTATTTACTATAAAAAATACACAACTTTTTTTAAATATGTTCTTAGGCCAGATTAAGACTCGAGGCACTCAAAGAGTTCATTTGCTTCAGTAGACAGCCAATGCTCGGGGAATCCGAATCGGAGTAGCAAGGCCGGCAGCGACGGCAAAGTCATCCGGTCAGTGAAAGACAAAAAGTGACAATCGTAAACCTCAGTCTCCAAACTTGAATCAGATAAAGCTCTTGAGGCGGTTACCTACCCAGTTTTGACAAGTTTCGTGAAGGGTATGACACAAATAATCCCAGTAGAGAGTCTCAACGTTTACCCCTGCGAAACCAGCGATAAGATCCGCTTAATTAGCCTAGCACATGGGGTAATCCGTCCATGGAGTAAATTCGACCAAGCAACTGAGACCTGGAAAGTGTAAGATGCGAGCTGGGAGTCAATAGGAAAAACCAACCATGACACTAGCTGTTTGATCTGTACACATTATAAAAATTCTGATAATGGCACATGATGCGTGATCGATACAACTCCAAAGCTTGACCGGAGGCAACATCTATTGTCCGACTGGCAACTACTTAAGACCAACAATGCCAAACATAAAAAAGTCGTGTTCTAAACTCAACACAGATGAAGCTCTGGAAATGGTCCCTACACCGTAGCGACAAGCTCGACATAGGGTGCGACACAAATCATCTAGTAGCAAGTCTCGACGGTTACCCTCGTGAAACAACGACAAGATCCACTTAAGATCTGGCGAAAGGTGCGGTTTGACCGAGACGACGATCTGATCGAGCAAACGAGACACAGGTGGTAAAGAGTTGCACCGAATGATTAATACAAATCAAAGACATTCGATAAAATATTTTATAGCTGATCGTTCTACCATGTATACCATCCTCAACAATCGAGTGATAAAATGTGGTAAAGGTAAAGCGACAAGTATAAAGAAAAATGTTTCCATTATCAAAAAATTTTATACAACTTTTTCTATATGACTATACAATTTGGTTGGCTACAGTTGAACAAAACAAAATTTTTTTTAAAAATGCAGGAAAAAAAAAGAGAGTAAGAAGCCTAAGGAGCATTCGATCCGCGGTCTCTGCAGTCTCCTCCGGCCGCTCTCGCAGATCTTTTACTCTCTTCCTTAAGGTTAGAAAGAAGGGTCACGAAAGCCTTTTGTTAGCCACTTGGGGTCAACTAGGCCTTCATTGATGAAGCGACTGACAGCCGAAGGGATGCCCACCTGACGTGATCATCGACAGGCTCCGTCTTTACCAACGTCACTTTAAGATCTTCTTTCTCCTTATCTTGGGTCTCGACGACTTCCATGTACTCCCTAGTCTCCCTCGTCCGACTTTAGGTGGAGAACTTCGACTTCTTTTCCATCCTGATGGCCCTCCTTTTTGCTTCCCTCTTCTAGGAGATTGCATCAGCCATCCTTCACTCAGTGGCTGTCTTCTTTTCCTCTATCCGACGGAAGGCCTTTGCCTGATAATGGGCAGCCGACCATGCCATCAGGTGGAATTGGTCGCCGCCCATACTCTTCAGTAGATGCTCGAAACAAGCAGAGTGAGCCACCTCTATCAAGAGATAAGGATAGCTCACCGTCGCGACCGTCCCCATGTACCAATCCATCTCAGTATCCATCGTAACGAAACACTCGACGGAGCTCAACCAAATGTCGGTGCCCTCATCGATGGAAGGAACTCATCTTGGAGGAGATGTCTTTTGTTCGGATCGAGGAGGTGGGAAGATGTTCTCAATAGGACCCTTTTCCCTTCTGGTGGAGAGTGCCTTCCTCTTGGCGGTTAGACTCTGCCTCCTCATGGGCCTCAGTGCTAGAATCTGACACAGAAATAGGTGACGCTCGGCTCGGCTCGCCTCAGCCCTCGACTTGGCGTCGATGATGGGAATGCCCAACGACTTGGCCACCTCCGCTTTGGCCAGAGATGCTTCATTCTCTTTCTCTCTGCTCTGCCAGAAAAAACTTGGCGCCTTTGGAGAGTCCTTCCAGCGAACTCTGGAAGTCCTGACACTTGGCAAGAAGCCCCCTCCGATCAGTAAGAACTCTCCAAAAATTGCAAACATCACTAAGTCATTTTCGATCCGATTGGGAGGGGGGGCAACAATTCCCTCTGGGCGGATGTCCTGTGCCCTCGGCTTCTTTCTAGCAACCTTTGTCACAACCGCTTCCTTTCACTTCGCACCTCAAACTCCTCCAATCACAAAACTTTGTTCAAGGTGCCGGAGTCCAAGTACTGATGCACAAACAACTCTTGTCCTTCAATCAACCTTATTTGTGTACTCTCTCAAGTGTTCCAGGAGGGACTTGATCTACTTGGGAGCACATATAACGGGCCGTACTTCAGTCCCTCAGCCTCCTCAATAGGAACCGACCAGAAACTTCAACTTTCAGTCATTGATTTTGTTCTCATGTTTCACAAACCGGAGCCTAGTTCCACTAAGAACATAGTATAGCTGTCCTAACCGACCTTGAAGTTGAAGAAATAAGAAAATAGGTTGGTTGACCATGGGATACCCAGTCACCGGAGAAAGATAACAAGCGTCATGACAACAACAATTGATTTTAGCATCACTCGTGCGGGATTGATACAGTAGCGGGAAAGGATCGCCCACAACTCCCGACCAAATGGTAGCCTTAGCCTACACTTAAAATGGTCCCGGTAGAAGACCAAGTCCTTTCCATAAACATCAGTCGCTCGGTCATTACTGCTGGCCGCCCTCAAAACTACCGAATTCCCATAAACATAGGACTCTTGAAGGCTTTTCACCCAGCGTGCGTCAAGATCAAAATCTATGGAATAGAGTCGAAGAGCTCTTTCGAGTATTTGGGAGCCATGAAAACGAGGCAAGGCAAGAAACAATTGGAAGAAGATACTGATAGAACTCAAGGAGATGAAACAATCACGCTAGAATTTCCAGAACTCTCAGCCCTATTTATAGATAACGAAAGGAAGTTGAACCATTGCAGGGGCAATAACATCATTTAACACCCGAAACCACGGTAAGGGAGTCAAATTGAACACAATTCAAGATAGAAAATTTGAACTTTTATTACATAAATGAGAATATTTACATCCGTCGCTCGGTGGCTACTCAAGAAAATATTTTACAAAATTGTCAGCAATTGCTTCAGCCGAGAAAAACTCTCGCTGAAACGGTCGCTTGAATAAGAGTTCACCTCTTAATCTAAATCTATCTATTTTAGCATTTGCTCGGGCGACCGAAGATGCCTCGCAGATTGCCAGCAGCTTCGCTCAAAGGATTTCAACTTCTTCGTTGAGGGCGGCCTCTTTAGCACGAATGGTGGCCACCTTTTCCGGCTTTTCCAACCGATTCGCTCGCTTAGCCAGCAGGTGTGTCTCCCCAGTCTGAGGAAATCCTACCGCCCGGAAGAACGAATCCTCTATCTAGCCAGTGCTCTTTTGAGTTTGAAGATTAGTCCATGTATATTGTTATTATTATTTTCTTTCTAGTGTCCTGTACTCAATTTTTGCTTTCATTTTTGAGTCTTGTGCTTGTATCTATGTTTTTTTTTTTATTATTATTACAATTGTGGTGCAACATTTGGTTGTTTTAAGTGGTGATATATTAAAGTGGGGATTTAAATAAGTCGAGTCGAGCTTGAGCCAACTTGAGCATGAGCTTGATTAATTAATCGAGTTCGAGCTTGATTTTGAGTTTCTATGAGTTCGAGCAAAGCTCACTAGCTGACTTTTTGTTATGAAAGAGAGAAAATAATATTGATTTAATATAGTTTTATAATAAAATGAGTAATTAAAAGATAAATAATTATAAATCACTTATATAAAAAAGTAAAATATCATATTTTAAATATTTTTATTAGTTTAAAATAAAGTTATGAATTTTAGTATATGTTATATATTTATATATATGGGCTGCCTCACAAGTCAATAATTTTAGGCTAATTTAGTTTGAGCTTGGCTCGTTAGCTCATCATCTCGTGAGCCACTTAACGAGCTCAGCCTGAATCGGCTTGGCTCACTTACAACCCCATATAAAAGTATGAAGTATAATAAATACCCGTAAACACCCTGGAAATGCCTGGAAATGTTGGACTGGCCTTACGAGTTTCTCTTTAAACGCATTTCATTGTGCTCGTAGCTGCTTTGACGACTCTGTCCTTTCTAACAGGCAGATGCTGATAAAGATGGACGACTCAGTTTGAATGAAATGATAGAACACCCATACGTATTTTACAGCTCTATTTTTGATGATGATGATGATGATGATGGCTTGGATTTCCACGACGAATTCCGTTAATAAGATCCTTTCCAGGCATCCTATGTGGACTCTATTATCATAATATTCTTTAGAAGCACCAAATTTTGATTTATAGCATAATTTCTTCAGGTTAGAAACTTATATGGACTGAGAGGTCTGATTTGTTTGACCTCGTGGGCGCTGCCTTCCAGGTTTCTGATATTTTTAATCTTTTACGTATCAAAATTTTGTTTTTTTTTTTTTTTGTTTTCATCATCTAATTTAAATATTCTACATGAATGTCTCACAATTTTTGACAGATCTGCTGCAGTGTAATTTTCACAAATTGGTTCTTACCTGCTCACTGCCGTATCTCGCGCTGTTCGTCAATATGTACCGGGTCTTCTCGCCTTCTCTAATGCCCACCTGACAGATGAAACATAGGACATTTCAGTTAAGTTAACCCTCCTTTTTCTTTGCGCGAAAATCGGTTAATTTATTCATGTTTTTGGCGAGTTTCAAATATCAGTGCTGGAACAGGTTCTGTGATAATTTCTGTGCATTCTTTTAAATTTTAATTGAAAGAGTTATTTCCTTTTAGTGTTTTAGGCTTTGTTTTGATTAAAATGTCATGTCTTGAGAGAATGCTATCGAGTATAATGATTATTAGTTAGGGTTCTGCAACTGGAAATATTTTTTGAAATCTATTTATAGATGCTACTTAGTTTTTATTAATATTTTAATTTTTTATTCAGATTTAAATTAGTAAAAAAAATTTTTAGTTTTTTTAGCAAATTTTATCTTAATTTTTTTCTTATTGATTAGTCATCCCTATTAATGGGGCTTATTTGTAATAATATTAATTACAATCTAGTTTTTTATAAGAACTAGTTGGACTAATTTAATATTATAATAGTTAATCCTTGAATAATTAAAATAATTGCATAAATAATTATAAAACTTGTTATTTACTACTTGGTGATAGAGGTGTAAATGAGTCGAACACGAGCGAGCTCAAGCTAAGTTCGTGTTCGCTCGTTAGGAAATATCACTATGCTTGTTCTGTTCTTTTATATTTTAAAAATAAAATTTGTTCTTGTTCGACTCGTTTGTTTAGCTAGCCGAGATGAACTGACCGTTTAAATTGAATGCTATACGTGTTGGCCTAAGCTCTTTTTTGATAAAATTTTGGAGAAGTCTAGGACTTAAAAAAACTTATTTAGCAGTTTCTCAGTAAATCCGGAAGACCTCTGTTCTGGAGTGTCGGCAAAATTAACATCGTCATCTTTTTTTAAGTCTTGTGAATGAATTTCCTGCTCCAACAATTCTCATTTTACTTGTAGCCTACACCTCAATCAATGTGGAAGCTTGTATTAATTCAAATAGCTGATTTTTTTTTGTTTTGTTACATGCATGATTAGGAAACAAGTGGATAGAAGAGAATAAATATAAGACTATTAGTTGCAATAAAATATAGAAATTTGTTAATTGCGTTTAGTATATATTGTGTTTGAGCTAGTTAGTATTCATAAGGGAGGAAATGATTAAAATACATGGTATTACTTAAAGGCTTAATTAAAATGAATATTTGCTACCTATAAATATTGTCACAAAAAAAAAAAAAAAAGTGATTTTCACATGAGGAACAAATTCATGTTAAATTGCTAGTCAATTTCTTTAGGGTTGGCCGTATTTAGGCAAGTGTGATGAGTTTTAATTTTGTGCGACGTAGCCTACGTCGCCCTTAAGGTCAGGAATATTATATTGTTTGTAATTGCAACTGTTTGCCGCAACTCGTCTTAAAAACAAAAATTCTTTAAAAAACTAGAAATATTTTAAAAATAATTTCTGTATCATCAATGTAATAAAATCTGCTTAAAATTTATTAAATAATATTATTATACTTCATTATATTAATTAAATTAAATAAATTTATATATTTGAAATTTAATTTAATATACTTAAAATATTCATTTTGAATAAATTTTTACGATAATTCAATCTATTTGGGATCGCTATCACAATTCTATTTAAAATATTCTATTCTTGTTACTTTCTAGAAACTCTTTTAGTGAGAAGTTGTAAATGGGTTGATGTAAGAAAACTGACATTATAGGAAATAAACTTATAATTTATCTCACCACAATTTTACAACGTCACAAACTAACTCTTGCTAACATATGTATTTTCGAGCAAATTATTTAAAAATTTTCAAGGCTATTTAATATATTTTAAAATTGATGTAAATATATAAATGTTGATATTTTTTCCACAGTAGAATCGTTTAATTTTTAAATGTGATATTAGATAATATTTTTTTCTTAAAATATAATTTGATATAATCATTTAAATATAAACTATTTTTATTAATAGCTTTTCTCCTTTTGGGGCAGTGGGCGCTTGTTTAGATCTTTTGCTATATTTCAGATTAGCAATTATAGCTTAATTTGGAGGGCTTTGAGTACTTGTTATAGATTTTTACTAGCCATTTTTTGCACATTGGATAGCATCCATTGGAGATTTTTTATATAATTTGGCTGTGCCTTAAAAGGCTACAGATAGGAGTAAGTGGTGAGTTATGCATCATGGGATAAGTAAAGCATTTGAACTCTTCTTACAATACTTACGAGTCAAATTCTATTTCAAGCTACATATTTTCTTGAAATAAATCTTATGTATTGTTTCATAATTTATATAATTTATTTTTGACTTATTCTTGCCTATTGTGGAAAAGAATATGCTGTAAAGCTTTTCTCCATCCCATCCTTGGAAGGAGACCATCTTTTTTAAGCAAGGTTCAGGTAGGAGTGCATAAATGATGGTCTTGGCAAAGGTGTAGACAAATATCCAATCTCGTAAAAACAAATTTTGCGTCCAACCTATTACTAATTATTAATTTTGTAGTCTTCTTTAATCTATTTATTCTATTACAAACCATAAATTTTAATTCTGTATTTTCAAATTAGTACAATAAAAGCCTACACGAATATCACCACCACATTTAGCACTAAACTAAACTCTACTATAGGGCTGTCAATTTGGTTCGTTGTTCGTGAAAATCTTGTGTTCGGCTCGTTAAGCAGCTTGTGTTCGGCTTGTTCGTTAAGCCAAATGAGCCGAACATGAACAAATTTTTAAGCTTGAAATGTAAACAATCTGAAGACGAACAAAAGTTTGTTTGCTCATGTTTGACTCTCGAATTGGCTTGTAAATATATATATATATATATATCATAATAAATATTGATAAAATTAAATATTATAAATTATAATTAATTAATTAAATGAGCCGAACATGAACAAATTTTTAAGCTTGAAATGATAAATGAGCCGCATACAAACAATGGTATTTTTTAACGTTTACACCCTTAGTTAGTTTTTCAAAAAAGTTATAATTTTAATTTTATTTAAAAAATCAATTATTATAATAATTTTATGTTCTAACGAGCTAATTTCGAGTCAAACATGAGCATGAAAAAGTTTTTCGAGCCGAGCATAAACACATTATTCACTAGCCATTCGAACACGAGCCAATTTCCAACGAACCGAACACGAGCCCAGCCTGAGCTCTCTCAGGCTTCACTTGTTTACAGTTCTACTCTTCCATAGTGAGTGACAAACTATAATCTTAAAACTCAACAAACGATCGACCATTCTGCAACATAAACACCACTAGGGAGGCACGTAATCTATGTGTCTTAGGGCTCGTTTAGGGCAGCTTATAAGTGTGGGGGCGTTTTTTAAAACGCCGCGGTACCTTTTGGATCACACATTTTGCTTGCTTCGAAAATGTGGTTCCATTTTTACACTAAACGCGGGCTACGGGTCGAACCCCGCGGTGGACCTGCAGGTCGCGTTTCAGGATAAACTGTTTTTTCTGAAACACACAAGCTGCCCCAAACTCACTCTTAATCCTAGACATCGGGCTGAAGGAGACCTATAGGTATTGTTAGATCTTATAACAAAAATTCAAGTCATTAAATCATCTTTTTGCTACATCGAGATCTAGAGCAACAAGCACAAGGGGCAGAAAATATTGCGTCCGGAGTCCCGACGCAAGCTGTGTCCGGACTACGAACGCAATATCTTTTTCACAGGGGGCCCTGTCGCCTCATCCAACACAAGCTCCCACGTGCATGGGTGCCTTTTTGTTCTATTTTAAGATGTTAATAAGTCAAATTTAAGGGCTTAACAAAAA